TCATAATCTGACCCGACATCTGAATCATCTATTACCTGGGCCAATGTGCTTTGATCGTCTTCTTCTTCAAGTTCTTGTAGACATTGTAGTACCTTCGCCTCATAACAAGGATCATCATAATGAAAAACTTCATTTCGACGCCTTTTTGGTTTGCTATAAGCCTTTGAACATGATGGCTCGGCATCCATGTTTCTAATCTGTAAGAATAATAAACAATACTGCGGCAACTTCAAGTGAGAATATTTTTAGAATAAAGCCTAAACACTAAATACATGTAATATTTATTTATATACATAAATAGACTCACGTAAACAGGATAATCTTATATACATAATACCAGTAAACCTAACTTAGATAATACGATATTAGTAATAGGTGCTTACCAGACACACACTTTGCCAATGCGGTATTCGTAATACGTGTATAACAGACACTGTGAGTTTTATATTCGATACTACTACGCATCAGCTTCTAAGCTGAACTAGTTGGTGACCTGGTCTACACTCAACTAGATATATTTTGGGAGGATACTTAGGTGGTGGGGTCAGCGGCTTGTTGCGCAGAGGATTGAAAGCCATATCAAAAGTAGTAGGTGTCTGTGAGACACGTATTTCGAGTTAAGGGTTAAGAGGAAAATTTATATTACACACTAAAAGACCTGCGGGGCAACTGTAGTTTAGTAGGTATAAAAATTACAACTTAAGGGTGGAGCCTAAATACTACAAAATTACTTTCGAGACTAAACAAAATTAGCATTCATTCATAATTTTAACAATTGCATGTAGATACGAGGGATACATATTCTAAACTCTAACGCGCGAAGTTGAGACAAAGGAACCGAAAAATATTCCACAATAGCACAAAATAATATGTATTTTAAATACAGTATGATGTAGATTAAAAGTTATTTTGACTTTGCCTCCAAACTTTGGTGTCAGAAGCTGAATTTTTTGGGGATGAAAGTACATGATGAGCTAACCCTTATTCCGGAGGTAATACAAAATTAGAGAGGGCAAAAGGTCACTATCATAAAAATCGAGATATTGATACCACCGTATAGAGAAAAAAATGCTAATTTTTTTGGCTAATGCACAATTAGGATTATGAAGGCAAATAATGTTTTATAAGGTGTATTACTTTATGATTTTTTTTGTGAAAATAAAAAATTATAAACTATTTATAGGTGTTCTCATCACAATTTTTTTTTTCGCATGCGTCAGTGTTAGCCATTTTTCTTCGTACTGTTTTTTGTAAACAAACATGTTAAAATACCCAACTGGACCAAAATTATGTTCGATAAATATTAATTTAAGTATAATCAATTAAAAAAGGAAGCAAAAATAAAATAATAATTGTCTTAATTGAAAAATAAATGGTTGCAGTCAATTATAATTATGTTATCTGTACAGAAAAGAACAACGAAACGGTGTAAAAGTGATACACGGTATAAATCATTCAAAGATAATACAAATTATTTTATAAATTTTCCAAAGTCTTTCTTAATGTCGTAAAAATTTTTCCAAATCATCTGGCAAAATACATATTAAAACATCTTTAAAATGTGCATTATGGGCGAACAAATATGATCGAAGGGACAAAGATTTTCGATCGATTGATGATGTTACTAAAAGATAGACACTTATATGTGTTTATTATATTTTCATGGAGAAAGTGGTCCAATAGAAGAAAATCCTTATCTGGTATTACATTTTTTTTTAAATTAAATACTACTTTGGTATACACAGTAATATGATTAAAAATATCATGTTGATCCTTAAAATATGAAATTATTGGTTTATTTTTTAATTATACCTGTGATTAACTTTCATGTTAATTAAAGTGTTTTTGCAAGTACTAATAGTTGGTTAACATAATTAATTAGAGTTATAATTATTATTTGTTTTCATTAATTTTTTACACAGTACACAAGTATTGATACCTAATCTCTTAACCAGCATACTTTTTTTCTTGTTGTAAACGTTCGTGACACTTCAACCACTTTTTTCAATTGCTAACAACTATGTGCTTCCACAAAGTTATAAAAAGTGAATCACCGTTAACGATTTTTCTAATCATTAATTTGTCTGTAGAGATGTATTGCTTTTCCAGCCATTGTTGACAAAACAATACGAAACTTTTGAATTACTGCTACTTCAAAAGGCGGCTACGCATGCACTCATTACATGATGAAAGGTCCTATTGAAGGTATAAGCACAGTATATATAAGTATAGATTATAAACAGTAAGGCTTTGCAGAATACAATAAATTCCTGATAAAAAAATAATAATTAGAAGTATATACAGCATAAATTAATAATATTAAAATATATAAATACAAGACTTGCAAACTAATCAGAATCGGATTCACCACACGAATCAACATTTTCCAAAGCATTAGCGGTTGTGGTCAAACTATTTGTGCAGTTTTTCTGTGCAATACCTAACCGATGCAGCCAATATTTTTCTTCTGCATTTGCAAATTTTGCTTTCACAGTCTAGAACTGAATAATGGTAAAATATTAAACATTTATGAAAATTATCGGTGTATAGTATGTATTTGCGTGATAAGTTATTTTATGTCTGGTGAGCAGACTCTCCAAGTCCCTCTCTGTCTTATTTGGCCTTTGAGGCTCAACTTGTCCGATTATCATACATAATTAAACCCCTTAAGACCAAACCTATGTGACGACTATGGTGGAGTGCTTTCGAGACTTTTCCAGGTAAAACGTGATAGTGTTTCTAATTTTTGGCGAGAACGTTCTAGAACCTGAAGGAACCTCCCACCATAATTTTAAATTGGTATATAAATATTGGTGGAACGCTGTAGGAGTTATTATATGGACAGTGAAGATAAATAGTAATTATTAGATAGACAGTAGTGAATATAAATAGTGATCAGTTTAAAGACATTCGAAGTATATATAAATTAGAATAGTTGTGTTATAAAATAAATGTTTAAATAAATTATTAATAAATAAACTGTTGTTTTAAAGTAAACAAACATCACAATATTTGCTGCAGCAAAGCAGTTCTCTAAAAAGTGCCTCGAACAAATGTAATATACTCGTTCAACTGCTAACATTTTAGTCCATTCAAGTGCTTCTAACCATAAGTTTCTTCTAATTCGTTTAGAACAATAAATAAAACAATTTTATTTTTTTTAATATTAATATTTTATTTTCCTTTTTTCTCCTAAAAGGACAGCCATGTCCTTTGGTAAGAAATAATATTAACGAAAGCAACGTAGCCTTACTTCCTCTATTATATTTGAAACTATATAAAACACAAGTTTTTTCATAGTACAAAATAAACTATAACAAACCAAAGTCTCTTTTAACACCACCATACTTGAACGAATTTAAGTAAAAACTTAAATAATTATCTAAAATTAACTGGAAAAATAAATATAGAGATGGAGATATTAATCTATTTCTCTCTAATTAGAACTTTTGGAGGCGATTCTCGACCATTTATGTAAATAAGTAGTTTATGGAACGGCCACTCACGACATTTTTCAGTACTTATGTAGGTCAGACATTTTTTACGACAAAAAAACACAAAAATACGCAATTAATCAGTATTACTATTATTTACTGAAAACTAATTGAGCTATCGATTTGATATTTTTTTATGATAAAGTAGAAACATGACCGCAAGTTTCAGAAAATATAAAATAATAGCATGCACCAAAAACATAAAATATACCTACCTATAATAGGTTTACTTCAAAAATAATATATTTGATTTAATTGCAAACAAAATCAATAATTGTAAATTATATGTAGACAATCGCAGGTATGTACGAGATTGTCGTCAGAAAAAGGATATTTAGTGAACACATTCTTTTTAAGAGGACCTTACTCACTCATAGTGTATTGCTATATAAAAAAATACGTGTAACATTCGGGGACTGCCGCGGTAAAGCTATTGCATAGCATTTTTTATCAACTTATGCAATTATAATTATTTATTTATTTTATTTATGCAGTATTTTTTGTTCTTTGATATTAATTCAAGTTTTTTTTTTGATATTAATTCAAGTTACACTTGGATTTTTGGATTTTTGGATTTTTGGATTTTTGGATTTTTGGATTTTTGGGTTTTTGGATTTTTGGATTATTGGATTTTTGGATTTTTGGATTTTCGAATTTTCGGTTTTTCGATTTTTCGATTTTTCGATTTTTCGATTTTTCGATTTTTCGATTTTTCGATTTTTCGATTTTTCGATTTTTCGATTTTTCGATTTTTCGATTTTTCGATTTTTCGATTTTTCGATTTTTCGATTTTTCGATTTTTCGATTTTTCGATTTTTCGATTTTTCGATTTTTCGATTTTTCGATTTTTCGATTTTTCGATTTTTCGATTTTTCGATTTTTCGATTTTTCGATTTTTCGATTTTTCGATTTTTCGATTTTTCGATTTTTCGATTTTTCGATTTTTCGATTTTTCGATTTTTCGATTTTTCGATTTTTCGATTTTTCGATTTTTCGATTTTTCAATTTTTCAATTTTTCGATTTTTCGACAAATAAAAATAAACCTTTTTGATTTTAAAATCAATAATATACATTTTTATTGAATGTTTATATCAAAGGCAGATTGACTTATAAAAGTAGAATTTGGTTAAACTTACAACCTAGTAATAATGTTGTTTTGGTCCTTATTTTCCATTCTAAATCAGCACAAAATAATTAAAACATTATATGTATGTAAAAAAACAGTTTCTTGAAATCTAAATAACTTTCAACACCAAGTCGTTGAGAATAAATTAATATTATTTTCTATTTGTCCATAAAAGAATGAAGTTAATCATAGCAATTAACAATACAAGAAATCAGTAATGTTGGTTGCCTAGTTATCTGTAATTTTATAAATAATTTAGTCAAAATTGGAAAAAATATTGTATGTAACACATTACGAAATGCCATTTTATGTTTAATTAATAGTTGTTATTATTATATAGTTATTTTATTTGTTGTTTATTAATTTCGTTTTATTTTAGGTATGGATTTTTGGAGACGTCTGGTGTCAAATTTGGCTTGCCGTTGACGTTTGGATGTGCACGGCCTCTATCTTAAATCTGTGCGTTATTTCTTTAGACCGTTACGTTGCGGTTACGAGACCGATAACGTATCCCAGCATTATGTCCCAGTCCAGGGCCAAGGGACTAATCGGAGGAATCTGGATACTCAGTTTCGTAATATGTTTCCCACCTTTGGTAGGATGGAAGGACAGGAAGGTATGCTGTTATTTATGTATTAACATTAATATTAAACTATATTGTATCTATTTTGAAGTACAGTGAAACCTGAGTAAGCCGGAACCTGTGTAACACGGAATCCTGTGTATGACGGAAATTTTGGCGATTACCTACATATTGTAATGTAAAAATTGCTTATAAGCCGAACCCTGTCTAACGCGCACACGTAATTTCCCTAATTTGTTAAGCCGGAACCTACTTATGTTATTGCTTTGCAGGTATAAAAGAATTTATAGATGTTTACATAATTAGTTTATGATTTCGGAAAGCCCCATAATAAGGGCGATCTATTATCAATACTTAGAACCATTATCACAGAAATTTAGGTACAAAAGCAGTAAATACACAAATAAACCAGTATTGTGTAGGTACGGCAGTTTGAGTTTATCCGTGAAAGTGCAAACATTTCAAAATGGCAAACCGAAAAACGAATACATTATCGCTAAAATCTAAAATGGACTTAATTGAATGTAGTGACCAAAAAAAAATTACTCCAAAGCAATTGGTTATTCAATTTAAGTGCGGAAAAACGCAAGTGTATGAAATTTTGAAAAACAAGGAAAAAATTAAAGAAGAGTGGATGCGTGGTGGTAATGGCGATATTAAGAGAAAGCCAAAGGAATCACATCACGACGACGTAAATTCAACAGTTTTGGAATGGTTTATGGATGCAAGGTCTCGCAATCTTCCTGTATCTGGAACAATTATTCAAGAAAAAGCAAGAGAAATTGCAAACCATTTTGGAAAAGTAGATTTTAAAGCTTCGAATGGATGGCTGGAAAGTTTTCGAACACGACATAACATAAGATTTAATCAGATCTGCGGTGAAGATAAGGACGTCGACATGGAATCTGTGACTGAATGGACATCGCACATTACAGATTTAATTAAAGGATATACCCTAAAAGACATTGCTAATTGTGACGAAACTGGCCTTTTTTATAGAGCGCTGCCGGACAAGACAATGTGCTTTAAAGGTGAAAAATGTCAAGGAGGCAAACAATCTAAAGAAAGGTTAACCGTTTTGCGCCTTTGCTGACGGAAAAATAGAAAAACCTCTAGTTATTGGAAAATCCCTCAGACCGCGATGTTTTAACAATACCAATGTGCCTCAGCTACCAGTTTATTGGCGAGCAAATAAAAAAGCATGGATGACATCAGTTCTTATGGAACAGTGGCTAAAAATTTTAAATAAAAAAATGAAATTTGAAAATCGACACATCCTTCTATTTTTGGATAATGCAACGTGTCACCCCAAAATAATACTATCCAATATAAAATTGTGTTTTCTACCACCAAACACCACAAGTCAAACACAGCCTCTCGATCATGGAGTTATACAAAACTTCAAAATGCATTACAGAAAACAAGTGCTGCGGTCAATTATTGCGAATATGAGATTCTCTCAATCAGCAGGAGATTTGGCTAAAAAAATATCAGTTTTGGATGCTATCAGATGGATTGATTATTCAGTAAAAAATATTAAACCTGATTGTGTTAAAAAATGTTTTGCGGCATGTGGAATCAAGCAAGATGGAGACGTTGACCTAATCGAAAATGTTGACGAAATTGACGAAAGTACAAAAGAAGTCGAAGAGTTAATTACTGAAATTAATCCCGGTTGTAATGTTCATGATTACATCACATTAGATGAAGCCGTTAAAACAAATGCTGGATTTCAGTCCATAGAAGAACTGGTGTTAGAAAAATCTGCCGTGGAAACTACTGTGGCAGACGATAATGATGGGATTGGAATTGGTAAGCGATTTTTCTAATTCTCTAAAAAAATAAACAACTTTTTATTTATTCTTTCCATCTTAATTGGGCATTTGGCCAAGTAGAAATAAAGTTAAAATACATAATAAAAATAAGATAGGAAGATTTCAGTTACCATCACAAAAATAACAGATAGAAAAAATTATTTTCCCATTAGCTTTTCAAAACGATCTGTTCTTAAATTATTATTTTTATCTACAGGAACAGAAGTTGAAGAATCCGATCGGATAAAAAATTTTTCTGAAGCTTTGAGGAGTGTTGCAGCGTTAGAGGATTTTTCCCAAAGAATAGAGAGCGAACCGATGAGAAAGAAGATTTTAGAATTAAGGACATTCATGGAATCATCTTACGTATTACAAAAGAATAAAAAACAACTTACATTGATAGAAATGTGGAATAAATAATAATTTATATTGTTTCTAATAATAAATAAAAATATGTAGGTACCTAGTAATAATAACAACTATATATTAAATGTACGTATATTAGATTTTTTTTAATAAAATCATCACTTTTTTAAATCTACTATGTGCAATTTTTTATCTACCCTGTGTAACGCGGAATCCTGTATATGCCGGAAAATCGGTGCACGACCGTGCGATTCCGTTTTACACAGGTTTCACTGTAGTATATTCGCTGTTCCGGTAAAACAATGACGCAAATGCAAAATTATAAATTTTTAGGAGAGACGAATAAAGAATATTATTACTTCCAAATTTGGGCACATAAATCACAAAAAACTTGTCCTAAATAGCAAATACGACATTTAACTATGGAATAAGTAACGTCTCCCTTAAAGTTGATGACACAACTGATTCATGTGTCATTGTTTTCCAAAAGTGGAGGGACAAAACGTTAATATTTTAAAACTGACGCAACTACCAACTAGCAGCCGCGAGTGGATATAAAATTACGCTGTTCTTATACCGTATAGAGAGACTAATTTGGAAACTAATGACATATTAAAATCAAAATGTCATAATTTTGCACTTGCGTCATTGTTTTACCGGAACAGCGATGTAGACAAGGTCTTTGAAAATGGTAAAAAGTAAAAAAAAATAGTAGGATGAAATCAATTGTAGAAGGAAGAGAATATAATAAAAATGAAAGAAAAAATAATTTACGGGCAATCTGAGGTCAGGAAGTGGAAGGGGGTGAGTTTTTAAGGGTAAAAAACGGTTTATCTCGATTTCCGACAAAACTACAAGTCCTGTGAAAAAAAGTTAACTGGCAAAGTTTTAGGCAATAAAAAGATCTACAACTTTTGTAACTATAATTTTTTGGTTTTTTTTAATCTTTTAGAAAAAAATGTTCACCAAATTTGGTGAATACTTACCTTTTTATGTCCCAAACTCACTGTAATGTTTTTGATTTAAATTATTTTTTCACCTTATTTTGACTTAATATCGAAAAAACACCCTAATTTTCAATCGAAAAGTCTCCCGCCAAAATATCTGCTTTTTAAAAAGATCTGTGGGCTACTTTCTGATGGTGTAAAAAAATATATACATTACTATGGTAAATGTTCTTAGAAAATGCAAAAATACGAAAAAAACAATAATTCGATTTCTTTTTTTTAATAGTTATGTACAATTTTGGGCTATTTATTAAAATGTTCACTTTAGTTACTCGAAAACCGTAAGATATTACAAATCCATAAAACATAAAAATTGCAGAAAACATGCAAAAATAGTTGTTCTAAATATTCGTCGCCCTAATAAGAGAAGTGCCTAACTCCACTTTTTGGAAAAAATGGGATTTTGCTGCCATCTATTAGAATAACGTCTAAGCCACCTTCTATCAAAGCTGCAGAGTGTCAACTTTACCGGTTAATTTTAAATTGAAACAACCGAAATTTGCCTATCTTCGACTTGACAAATGTCAAAAAGAAATTTGCCTAACTCCACACTTTTGTTTAAAAGTGAAGAACGAGTATCGGATGGGAATGATATTTTGTGTTATTTTTGTTAATAATAAGTTAAATTTAAAGTTTTATGTGTTAGGTGTGTAGAAGAACAAGTAAATAATAAGGTAAATATGAAGATACACTTTCGTTTATTTTAATATCTTAAAAATATTACCCAAATAATTTTACTGGAGTTAGGCATTTTGTGTATTATTGACAACACGTGAAGAAATGGAGTTAGTTAGCCCGCTTGTACATTCCAAGTTCAAATCATGGTTCAGCTGAACTCGGCTGGTATTTGAAGTCGCCCATTTAAAATGCATTGCTGTCAATTTCTGACAGGTTTCGTGCCATTTTGACAGCAATTATTGAGTTCAGCTGAACCATAATTTAAACTTGGAATGTACAATCGGGCCTTAGGGATTTTTGGGTAAAAACTTTAAAATACTAAAATAAAAACTAGAAAATAAGATAAAATTTAAAAACTATCAAGACAAACTTTTATTTTAAATTACTGTTCTTGAAGTATCTACGTATTTATAATGGGTTTCATTGCTACTCTAGTACCTAGTTTTGGGTGTATACGAAAACGAACTTTGGGCTGCCACCGGCGCGGCGCGGCGTATACAAGAGGGGGTAATGGGAGTAATCACCCACTCAGGATATAAAAAAATCCGTAGTAAAACAAAGTCCTGGAAATGAAGCTACTTTAACCCAAATTAAAATGTTTCTTTCAAAGTGTATAGTATGACATCGCCCTAAGTTATTCAAAAATAGGCTATTTTAAAACCATGAATGCGTTATTTTAGGGAGCATTTTTTTTCACGTTCCTTCCAGATTTTTTCTTGCTTTCCCCTTTTTTTCGGGGTATTTTTTTTGGGGTGTTTTGCGTTCACCGGTGTTAGGCACAAGGGCTAGATACGCCGTTGTGGAGTTCTTTTTAACACCTCTGTAAAATCCTATTTTATGGATTAAAGTACATTTTAAATAAAAGTGTTTCTGAAAGGCGTTTTAAATTTTATTTTATCAAAGAAAGCATTTATTAATTTCAATTTAGTATTCACGTAAGGATTTTTTCCAGCAGTTGTTCAACATGTCGTCTAGAACACAAAAAATGCTGGAACTAGCAAAAGTAGTTTTTGAAGAAGGGCGAGAACTAAATAATAGTGATTCTGATTGTTTAATGCAGCCACTTAAAGAACCTTCTGGTGAGAAAATGAGCCAAATAATTGAAGAAGAACTAATAAATCTACCAACTATTTCAATGCCAGATCTTGGCGACCATTCTATTGATGAA